CTGCCAAACAGCGCTCTCATGCTTGACCATAAGAATGCAGGAGATTGATTTTCTATGGTTTTGGTTTTTCTCTACCTTTTTTAAGAATGCTCCCTTCACACAAGTCACACTAACAAGTTTCAGCAGAGATGAGGAACCCCTTTTGTCCAACGCTTAATAGCCACAGAAACACAGAAGCCAAGTCTTGTTTGGCTTCTATGCTTACAAGACAAACGCTCTCACTGTGAGAAGACCACCTTGAGTTGCAGTTCTGGAACACCAGAACCCACAGCTCAGTAACTGCCTCGCTCTAGCACAGCACAGCTCTCAGCAAGCAGCAGCCTTTACCTCATTTTCTTCCCAGAGACCTTGAAGAACTACTGGTTTGCTTGCACTGCTTGCACCGTAACACTAGGAACCATCTGTTTGTTAATTATCTCCAACATCTTCAAAGAACCATTACTGACGGGGCTCCAAGGCTAGAGGTATGTTACAATCAATGACAATACAGCTCCACTTCTTAGGAAGGTCCTACTAAACTTGAGATTAGCTGGGCACGTAAAACCTGTCAGCCTGCTCCTCTCAGTGAGAGGCTATTTTTTATTTTTAAAGACACAAAGAGCCAATAACTGGTCTTCCTTCCCTAGGAAAATCTTCACTCATCTTTCTGAAAGGGTCTCGACTTATAATATCATAACACCAACCCTTAGGTGGTGTGCAAAGGATGTACCTGCCCTGCTGCTGTTCAAGCTCTGAGCACTCCTTCCACATCCAGGTGGGAAGATCTGTTGAAAGCGATCATTTCTGATGAGCTGAAGGTCACTGGACATGCCCTACTCCATGCAAGTAATACATATTCATTTGCCTAGTGACCGTGGTGACCCACAGAGATCACAAGCTTTTTAAAGATTAGTTCACAACTCTTCCAGTAAGAGGAACTCTTCAAACAGCCCAGCTATTGGATTATCAGTCACTTCTGGAACACATAAAGCCTATTCCAAGTTTTACCCTGCTCAAACAAGATAAGCTCATTAAGTCCAAAATCTGTGAGCACTTAACCAGAATCCTGCTCCTTCCCAACTCTGGCCTAGTTATTTTTATAGTCCACCATTTCAGTGAATCTGAAATGACCATGCCACCACCCAACTCCTTAAGCAAGGGTTACAACAATTCTGGCTTCACTGGCCAAGTGCCTATAGGAGCTGCCCCTCAAATTCCTTAAAAAAAAGTGCATTTTTTGTAAAAACACACCTAATTTTATTAACAGTTTAAACATGCACATGTCCGTTTTTTTTCTCCTTGCAGCTGCTTCTTCCTGCTCCTGTCCAAGCAGGAGCATTATGAAGCCGTGCAGCGCACACTCACATCAGAAAACCATCCGTTACAATCAGGCTTGTGCCAAATCTGCTCTCCTGTTCCACTTCTCACACAGACACCCGTGCCTTCAAAAAAGGGCTGGTGCAGAAGCAAGAATGAACAGCTGGGAAAGGTACAGGATCATCTTTCAGCATGAGCACCACTTCAACTGTTTCAGCTATGGCATTAATGCACGCTCAGATCTATTACACCTCGTACTCCCTTCTCCCCTACATACCCTTGAACTCTTGTCAGTCTCTTTGTAAGACAAAGGTAAACAGTGCTGTTTAAATAACAGGTCCTAGCAAAGGCACAGACCACATACATGCACAGACAGGATACCACAGCAAGTTAGAACCGCAAGCCTAACTGCTGGAGAACACCCAGCCAACTGAAATATCCTTCTTAAAAGGACAGAATTGTAGTTCAGTAGAAACTGTTTCTCTCTGGTAGGCTACCATAAATACAAACTATTTAAAAAATATCTCCCTCTCCTCCAGCTCCCTTCCTTCCCCTCATCTTCCCAGTTAAAGGCGTTACAGACTGGCCTTGGGGCAGATCCCCTTCCCTACAGTTTTTGTCTAGAAGCAGTACAAGCAGTTGGTGTTTATTCATCTCCTGCAGCAGAAGAAACAACTCAGAATGCATCACGGACGTTATTTTGAAGCTTCGCTGCATCACCACTGGAGTTACCGCTTCCCAAAATGATAGTGCTTCCCTGAGGACAGCTAGTAGGACAGCCTTGAAACAAACCCAAATACTATCTTATTTGCCTTCATTTCTGTAGTTTCATAAGAACATAAAGACTCCTCGGTTCGAATGCTGCTACAACAAGCTATCAGCTACACAAAACTTCAAAAATAGTTCATTTCTCAGCTACCAAAGCAAAACCTGGTTATTAATGTGAGCTACCTAAAAGGTTGCTTTACAGATTAAAGCTTTCTACCCCAGAGAAGCTTTTGATTTGATATTCTAAAGTAGCTTGTAAAATACTAAGTATTCAGATTGCTCCCTTACAGCAAGGTAGGGAATTGCTCCCTGTTCCATAATCATGGAATACATGCCTAAACACAAGGACTAATAACATAGAAGTGTTTTTTTTTCCACATCTTCAGTGTACATGAATGTTTCTCACTTAATATATATGCAAGAAAATATTCATTTCAGCTCCCAAATAAATCTGCTCTACATCAGAAGGCTCACTGCACACTGAAAGCTTCTCTGGAAGCTTCCATTACAAAGGGAGTATTTACCGTGTGCTACACTATGCCTATACAGAAAGGATCAATAATCCAGTCACTTAGACATTTGGTTAACAACCAGCTGCCTGCTCTTAACACCATTTCCAGTAAGGCTTTTTTTTTTTTTTTTTTTAAATAGCCTCACAACCTTTAGGACTCAAGAATCCTGCTCTTTGTAGTAGCCTACACAAAACCGGCTGCTTCAAGGCTCAGCTGACAGCCACCCATCTGACACTCGGAACAGTTTATTTCAGAAAACAGAGCATACATCATAGAAGTTAAGCTCCGATGAGGCTCCAAACTTGAAAAAGCTTCACACTGTCATCCTTAATTACTGTCTCCATTTCTTTCCTGGTATCCTTTATATAACCTCCAAAGGAAAAAATGTAGCACTATTAGATGCTTCCAGCCTGGGCCTCCTGCCCCTCCCTCAGCACACACATGCCCTGCAGGCTCTATCTGCAACTAATACCGACTACTTACAGTAGCTCCCAGTCCCCAGTCGCTTCTTATGCAACTAGGCTCCACCTCACCACGTTACTTATGTAACACATTAAGCAGCGTCTATTATACAGGATTCTTCTACATTAGTCATATACCCAACAACTTTCATTCCAGCAGTTCTCACACAACGCATTCACCAAGAATTCAAGCTTCATTCCCCACCAGGTCGCTGCTGCAGAGAAGAGAGAAATCGCACCTATCTGCAAACATACTGAGAACAGGAAAAGCGCTATAAAGCATTTCTAAGTGGAACAAACGACCACATTTGAAGCATCAGCAACTTTAGCTGTTAATTCGTTCGTTGGGTTAGCTGCAGAGGCTAAGTTTACATTGTACTATACAAGAACAAGACGTGGGAACTGGCAGCGAATTTCTCTGAAAGCACAAAAACCCCACCCAAACAGTAAAATGAGTTGCACTCTTTAAAAAAAAAAAAAGAGAAGAGGAAAAGTGTCATGATTGGAAAACGTACATTTTTCACCCCCACCCCAAATCCTGAAATAAAACACAGATCCAGAATATATTTGCCAAGCTCCTAATCCCACCCAGACTGGCGTGCCAAGTTCATTTTCCTACGAACCTCGGGAAGCAGGAGGAGGGCCACCCTCCCCATATTTGCACCCCGTGGCTTTCCATTTCCATTCAGCACCCGCTTCAATCCCCACGTTACAGACGCGGGCCACCTGCGGCCTAGCTCCCAAACAGACGCCACGTCGCCCTAGGAAAACACTGCTCCAAGAGGAACCACCAAGACACAAATTCAGACATTTTAACACATCCGAGCGCTGTTCAGACAGAACCAGAGGCAAAACAGCTTTCTCCTCAGCCTCCCCGTGCACCGAGCAGAGCCACACCGAGCTCCCAGCAGCACAACTCCACACAGCTTGTACACTGGCTCTAGAGAGGCGGCCAGACAGCACTGAGGCAGCTCCCAGGGACAGAAACTGACCCCGGGGGAGGCCGGGGGGGCCCAGAGGGGATCCACGCAGCGCCTGAGGGGGCCCCGCGGGGAACTTCCCCTTGAGGGCAGCGCGGAGGGGCCTCCCCCCGGGGCCGCGGCGGGCAGGGAGGGAAGCCAGAAGCTTCCTCGGCTACACCCCGGCTCACGAGGGCGGCGGGGGAAGGGAAAGGGAGGGGAAGGGAGGGGAGGCGGGGAAGGGGCCGTGAGGGGAGGCGCGGGCTCCGCGGGCAGCCGCCGCCGCCTGAGGCGGGCTGGGCCGCGGCCAAGCCCCACAGGAATGCGGCGCGGTCACGTGACCTCCGGCGGACGTGCGCCGCCCTGCCCTCGCCAGGGAGGCCCGGCGCCATCTTGGGCTGACGCAGTTACAAAAGCCCCGCCGAGCCCCCTCCGCCTCGCTCCCCGCCCCGCCGCTCCTCTCCTCGCGGCCCCGTATGGAGGCACCGAGCCCGTTTTTTCCCCGTTTTCCCCTCTTTTCACCCCATTTCTTTCAGGGCTCCCCGCCCGCCGGGATCATGGCGCCCGTTTTCTTCCCCCCCTCGCCCCAGCCTCCCCCGGCGGCTCCCGACCCTGCCCAGCTGCGGCTGCCCCCTTGCTGCAGGATGATGTCAGCGCCAGCCAATCAGCGCGCGCCGGGGCAGCCCGGGCGGGCCGCCCATTGGCTGCCGCGCAGGTCCCGCCCCCCCCCCCCCCCCCCCCGCCTGACTCCCGCCGCCGCCGCGGTTCGCTGCGGAGACGCGGCCAAGGCAGGAGGGGGGGGAAGGGAGGGGAATAGGAGGGGAAGAAAAAAAAAAAAAAAAAAAACCTACACAAAAAAACCGACAACCAAACCCACCAAGACGCCGGCCGCCATTTCGCGCAACAACAGGCAGAACCCGAGCGAGCAGCCCCGGCCATAGCGCCCTAAGGAGAGAGAGAAAAAAAAAAAAAAAAAGAGAGAGAAAAAACAGAGACACACGCACAGGAGAGTTAGACAGGAAAAAATACCCATAGACTCCGCCATGATCACAAGACGTTTAATCGCCCCCCTCCTCCCTCAGGCTCAACGCCCCGTTACAGCCGCCTCCTCTGCGTCCAACCAGCCAGCGGATCCCTTCACCTCGGCTCCCTCCTGCCGCAGCAGCAGCTCTTTGGAGCCCCAAACTCTCTCTGCGCGAGGTGTGGGGGGACGCTAGGCTATGGCGCTGCTGCTAACTGCTTCTCCAGTCACCCGCTTGTGGCGGCTCCATCGAGGCAGGGTAAGGGCTGCCAGCCCAGCTTTTATCTGGTGCCCCGAGTTTGCGCACTGAAGGAGGCTCGCTCAGCCCCTGGTGGGCGTCGAATGAAACCCCAGCCGCCGCCTCCCCTCCCTCGCTCAGCCGCGGCGCTGGAGGGGCTGAGGCCGGGCAGGGACGTGGCGGAGGGAGCCGGGGGCTCGGCTGGAGCCCTCCTGGGCTGCCCGCTAAAGCCAGACCCTACCTTTCTCCCCGTTCCCTACACGGGAAAAACAGCCCCGGCTACGGCTCGTCCCGGGCCCCGGCGGAGAGAAACAAACGCCTTCAGCTAGCGCGGCCCCGCTCGCCTCACACGCCTCGGGGGAGATCCCAGCCTCGAGTGCCCAGCACGGGGGAGCCGCAGCCCAAAGCCTCCGTGCCGCCTGCCAGACGGGCCCAGTGCAAACCTCCCGCTCCCTCCCCTCGCTCGTCGCCCCCCTCCTTCCTTCCTTCCCCGCCCCTCCGGTGAAGCATGTCCGAGACCCCCGGGGCTTTTTCGTATACTATTTTAATGGCCAAAACGCACCCCTCGGGTTGAGATCCGCCAAGGATAGGTAGGGCCGAGCGGCATGCCGGGCGTGAGGAGGAAGCCGAGGCGGAGGCGGGGGGGGAAGGGGGAAAGAAGCAGCAGCCGAGGACGGAGTTTTAGCGATCCTGCCCCAGAGGATGCAGCTGTGAGTCAGACATCCTCCCGCTGCCGCCCGCCGCCACCACAGCCGCTGCCCCTCCCCGCCCGCGCCTCACGGAGCAGCCCCCGAGAGCAGCCCGGGCTGCTCCCCTCCTCCACCACCACCACCACCACCGCCCTATATCGCCGAACACCTTCTCCCTTCACCCCCCGCTCCTCATTCTCGCCCACCCCCGCCCCTCGCTGCGCTCCCTCGGCCGCGGGGCTGAGTTGCAAAATGGACACGGAGGGCTCGGCGGGCGGCGGGCGCGCAGCAACATCAACAGCAGCAGCAGCAGCCCACAAGCAAAATGGCGGCCGCTTGGCTTCGCCTTGGTAACCCTGCCCCTGCCAGGCGGGGCGGGTGAGCCCCGTGCAGGGGGAGGGAGGGGAGAGCGGCCGCCATTTTCCCCGAGAGGCAGTGACATAGAGGGGAGCGTAGGAGGCTGCGAGCAGGGAGACCCGGGAGCAGCGGCAGCGGGGTTTGTACGCAGGTCCCGAGGCAAAAGGCGCTCCCCGGCTAGCTCCCTGTAGGGTTCCGTGCGCCGAGCTGGTTCCTGAAGGGGGAGGGGGGGGGGCCTCCTCTTCCTTTCCTTCCCTTTTTCTTTTTTTTCTTTCGCCCGGGTCTGCTGAGGAGGGGGGTGAGTCCTGCCCAGGGAAGGGACATCCGCAGTGGGGCAGCGGCATTGTTTTGGTCGGGATAGGAGAGGGGCTCGGCTGAGGGGTCCTGCTGCCTGGCCTGTGTCACCATTACAGGTGAGTCTCGGGTTGTTTCTGAGGGGTTTTACCGGGGGTGCCTCAGGGAGGGGGAGGGGGGGGAGGGGGGGGGGCGCTGGGAAAAAAAAATAAAAATAAAAGAAAAAAGGGGGAGCGAAATGCGACGGGGACGCCTCGTTGCCCCCGGGGTGGCAGGCTCCCACCTCCCCCTCCGAAACGTGCTGAAATTCTCCTCAAGTTGTCTTCAATTCGCTTTTCCTTTTGTGGGGTTTGGCTCGAAAATGGCAGGCTGTCGCTATATCTTGTGAATATGGCGGGTTACTGTAACTGGAGGAGCTGAGGAGAATTTTTTGGCAGTTCTGCCAGATTTATGTATTATGCCTGGAAAAAGAGCCAGGAGGGGCTATTATGTGACAACGTACGCTTCCTCAGACTGGTGGTTTTTAAGAAGGGGTTTGTGTGTTATTGGCACTGCGTATTGAGTTTTATGAAGCTTAGGGAAGCCTATTCTCTTCCTCCATCCTGTATATTTTTGCTTTGTGATACTAAAATGGCTCATTATAGGCCTAATCTCGCTGACTTCCACACCCCCGCCTCCTTCTCTGCCTCCCTGCTAATATCTCAGCTTCGTGGTGTAACCTGGACGAACGGAAAGCTGTCCTAAAGAGTTTCTGTGCCAATTTAAAAGGGGATCATTCTCTCCACCCCCTTTCTTGAGGTTGTAAGTAGTTATACTGGTGCATCCCTTTCTTGCTTCGGTTTCTGTAGCCAGCGTTCGTGCTCCTTGGCTGGCATATTTTAATCTTCAGGAAATAAAGGCTGGTGGAGTAGACCCTATCGCTGCAGACATAGGGGAGGAGGAACAAACGGTTCACTGTGTAGTACTAAATAGGGTAGAGAAACATAATATAGTCTGATTATAAAGGTCCTGTATTCCCCCATACTTGGCCATTAGGGAACGTGCGGTGGCGAAAAGCCCCGAGGTCCCTAACACGGTACATACTACGTGTCGTTGAACGCAGAAGCTTAGTGCTGCATCTAGATTTAGGAATATTTTATACTGTTTATTTACAGTATCTTAAAGGAATAATAATGAAACGTTCCAGTTATTCAGGGCTCAGGTCGGAGAAAACAGCGATATATCCATGGCTGTACTTATAACACGTAATTAATTGATTATAATCATGATACTTTTGAAGTTACTTTTCAAAAAATGTGGAGCAAATTTTTTAATTTCCCTCTTTTGTCCTTTAGAGATTCTAAAAATGGCGGCCTCAGGCTGATGTTGTGGTAATCTAATCAGCTCGGGTCCTCCACACCCCATGCAGTGCGTTTGTCTGCAGCATATTAGAGTCTTATTCCGTGGAAATGAAAAGACCGTTCCCTTCAAATAATGTACAAAACATCTCTTGGCTTTACTGCGATTTAAAAATGCTGTGTTCCAGCTGATTAATTTTATTGGTTATGTGTGTGAAAGGCAAGTGAACGAGACCACTCCTGTCGGGGAGAAGGGGGGTGGAAAGAGGCAGCAGACTCAGGCGGCTTCTTTGAGGGGTGTGTATAGATTTCTCTAAGGTAATACGTGTGTCGTCGAATAATTTGGAAAAGCTCCGGCGTCGGTGGTGGAGGCTGTGTATCCGTCCGTCGCATTATCAACCTAAAAGCGATAATATTTTTCAAACTAAAGAGGAGATTAAGATCGCTGAAACAGTCAGCTAAATTCTTTGTGGAATCACATTTGTGAACGTCATGGTCATCTCCCAGGAAATACCTCTGCTGGACGTTGGGGTAGTAATTCCATATATCCGTAGTTCGAGAATACGAAAAGAACTTAATACGGACTGAAATAATGCATGCAAGATTATAACCTGTTACTCTATTAAGATGCAGAATTTCTTCTGCCACTGTAATCTTAGTATTAGACGTTTTCTTTCATTTATATTGCATATTGCTGTATAAAACGTGTATGGTAATATACGTACAAATAATTAAGTGAAAGTGCGGTGCCGAACCTCTAATTTTTTTCTGAAATGAAATATGAACCTTTTAGTATCACCACTATAAATATGTTTGGGTGGGGGGAAGGGAAGTCACAAGGATTTGTTATTCCGTAGTTGGTGTAGTGTACTCTGATACAAACTGTGGAGACTGTGAGCTATATGTTCAAACAACAGCAACAAAAAAGAAATTCATATTTGTCGCTTTGGTTTTTGTATGCCTGTCTTTAATCTTGTCGTTGGTTTAATGAGGTGTGAGTTCGAATTCTAGTATAGCTTTGGAACCTTCTGGATTTAAACAATCAAAAATAAAGTACTGAAATGGCAAAACTGTCTTCAGTCTCTGAAGAATTCGAATTTAGATACCGTTCACATACAGAGCAGCACTGATGTTGGTGTAAGGTATACCTGAAGTTCCACAGCAAGATGGTAAGACTTTCAGCGGTCCTAATGCGTGCTTTTCATGTGTTTTGAGGCCAAAGGCTGAGTGATTTCAACCACCAAGTGATGCATTAATGGTCCTACAATGCATGCTCCCATCTTGCCCTCCTCATATTATATGGACTTGATCTTTTTTTTTTTTAAATAAGCCATGTCATACTCTCATCTTATTAAAAAGGATAGTTTTAAAGACTTTGTATGAGCATTTTTAGAAAACTCTTGCCTTTTTCTTCTTCTCTTTCTAGGTTTAAAACCCCTCTTCTCTTATTTTTTCAACGTTACAACTTAGAGGGCTACACTGCTCTACTTCATGGCCTCAGTCATGTTCTTGGGCAGATGTCCAATTCAAGATTAACATTAGAAGAAACAATTTTGTACAGTTTACAGAAAGTGTCGCTGGGGAAAAATTGAGATCCAAAAATTGGAATACCCCAACTCAATTTTTACAACTTATCTCACAGATCACAAATTTTATGCGTTAGGGCCCTTTTGGGAATTTTGAAATCTTCCAGTTTTTCTGTGTGTTCTAGTGAGTCACTTTGTGACTCAGTTTCTCCATTTGTAAAACAGATCTGTGATCTGAAAACAGGCTTGTTTAAGGAGACAACATTACAAAGGAAATTCTGCCCTTATTTTTTGAATTCCGCTGATGTTGGTTGGTTAAAATATATTCATTAAAAATGAAATGTTCCCCCAACCTACTAGCAGAAGTTCTTGAAAGAGAGGTTGGAAATCAGAATTCTTGAAAAGGTTTCTGATTTACAAACGTTTTGTTACAAATGCAATTTTGTAAATGTTAAAATAATATGGATGTTACGCAAATGGTTTTAGCGCTATCTTCAAGCTCTTCATATCTGAAGGAAAAATCTGCTCAACTGTCATAACTATGCATTTTGGGTAAGCTTTTTTGCCATCTGGGAAGTTTCAGAGAGGAAAAAATACTGACTTTTAAAGCTGTAAGTATCCAGGGAAAGTTTCATTTAGTACCAATATTCAGATTACTGTTAGGAGTTGCATTACCTCATGTCTCTGGTTTGGTTTCAACACAACCGGGTTAATCTGTTGGAGTGAAATACAGAAAACAGCATCGCACCGAAGGCTGATCCCAGTTTGATTTAAGGACAGCCTTAGTTTTGTGCTCATGCTGGTTTTAGTAAGATTCCTTGTGGGTTTTAGGTAAGGAATGTTGTATGTTACTGAAGAATTATGCAGTTGTTTTAAATAGATGAATCTGTAAATGAAGCTCTAACAAAAGTATTCTGCTGTTTTCATATAAAATTCTAACAAAATTGAGTTGGGGGATGTAGATACGAAACGAAAGCCAAATCAGGCTTCTGGAGAGATCTTAAGGATATCCAGCTATGTTACTGGTCTTGTGACTTCCATACAAACGATCATTTGTGAATCTCTCAAAAGCAAATTTGGTTGGACAGTGTTTTTGGAGTAGGTACTGCTGTGTTCAAATGTTTCCACTGTACAAATAGTAGTTTCTATCGTTAAGAATAAAGCTTACTTTTTTTTTTTTTTTTTTTTTTTTGTACAGAGATACCTTACTTAGTTCATGTAGAATGTGGATTACTTTTTGGGTTTTTTTT